CTAAATCTCATATCACAATGGGTACCCGCGCTCACTAGGGGTGTACAAACTCCAGGAGGGACCCCATACATCCCAAGCGCAATATCAAACCATCTCGTGGCATAATCAATAGGCTCTCGACCTCATATCAAGCCACCTTGTGGCGTACAACTCAGGCCCTCGGTATCATAATCATAATCAGTACAACATTGTTGCGGCGTGCATCCTGATCCCATAATAATATCACAATGCAGGCCCTCAGCCCTACTAAGTTAGAAATCTTTAAAAAGCCACTCGGGCACAGTGCAATATGATGTTCAACCCAAAATATCATTTAAAGGTTTAAAAATAGAGTAAACTTGGTTGAATTATGAAAACAGTATAATATAACATGACTGAGTACAGATATAAAATCAAAACAGTGAGGAAATAGTAGTAAAAATCCTCTAAGGGTCCAAATAGTTCGCACGAGGCCCAAATATGGCACGAGGACCATAACATGATAATAGCAAACAGTTTTCATTCAAATACACGGTAAAACAGTCATTCGGGATGGACTAAGTCACAATCCTCAATGGTGCACGACCCTATGCTCATAATCTAGCGTGTGTGTCACCTCAATATAGCACAACGATGTGAAATATGAGGTTTCATACCCTCAGGACAATATTTACAATCATTACTCACCTTTATCCGGCCTGAACTCTAGCCTGCATGCCCTTGCCTATCGGATCGGCCTCCGGATGCTCCAAATCTAACAAAAATTAGTGCAAAACCATCAAAATAAGCTAAGGGAACAAAGCTCGCTCGAAAGAAATAAAATTACAACATAAATCAAAAAATTAGCCAATCCCGACCCCCGAGCCCACGTCTCGGATTCCGGTAAAAATTACATCAATAGACTCCTTATCACTTCCCGAGTTCATTCATATCAAAATCACCAAAATCCAACCACAATTGATCCCTCAAATCCCTAATTTTAGGTCTCCAATTATAAGCCCTAGTTCTTCAATATTAGGTTTAAATTCCATGATTAATTAGGTAGAAAACACATTAGGATTGAGTATAAAGTCCATAAATCTTACCTCCGAGTGTTCCCCCTCGATTCCCTCTTCAATCCCCTTCAAAAAATTTCAAATCGCCCAAAAATGGAGGAACTTATGCCTAAAATCGCGGAAATGAGCTTTTAAAACATTCTTCCAAGGGAGTCAATTCCTTTTTCGCGAACACGGTCAACCTCTCGCGTTCCCGAAGCATAAACTTAGGTTGACCAAAAATCCCTCTTACGCGAACGTGACGACACCCTCGCGAACGCGATGCCTCAGTAGCTCTACCATTATGAACGCGTCTGCTCTCCCGCAAATGTGATGCTTCCTGACTCCAACCCTTTGCGAAGACAAGGGCCCACTCGCGAACGCGAAGCACTGTTATCTGCAACACTATAGCAGATTTTTTCTACAACTTTTCACAACTTGAAATGGTCCGTTTAACCACCCGAAACTTACCCGAGGCCCCCGGGACCTCAACCTAACATGTCAACATATCCCATAAAATCATTCAAACTTTTTCCAATCTTTGGAACGCTCAAAACAACATCAAAACACCAAATTGCATCCGATTCAATCCTAAGAATTCCAAAATCTACTAAATTTCACTTTCGATCAAAAAGTCTATCAAACCTTGTCCGAATGACCTGAAATTTTGCACACACATCCCAAATGACACAACGGACCTACTGCAACTCCCGAAATTCCATTCCGACCCATATATCAAAATCTTACCTATCAATCGGAAAATGCCAAAATTCCAATTTTGCCAATTCAAGCCTAAATCCACTCCGGACCTCAAAAACATATTCATATCGCGCTCTTATGTCCCAAATTGCCTCCCAATGCTATCCGAACCATCAGAACTCACATCCAAGCCCTTTGACACATAAGTCAATATCCAATTGACTTTTCCTACATAAGCTTCCTCAAAAGAGACTAAGTGTCTCAAACCTTACCAAAACCTCTACGAACCTGAGCCAACCAACTCGATAACACAAAATACAGCTGAACAAGGCAATAAGAAGCATAAATGGGAGAAACGGAGTGGTACTCATAAAACGACCGGCCGGGTCGTTACACCCATCCAGAATCTGCACACCCCTAGTGAGCGCATGTACCTACTGAGTGCCGAGTGACTGGGAGGCATGAGTGATGGTGAGGTTTGCCGGAGGGGTTGTATATGAGTGATGTATGCCCGCAGGGCTGTATATGAGTGATGTTCGCCTGAGGTGCTATATATGAGTGATATTTGCCCTAGGGGATGTATACGAGTAAAGTTTGACCAAGGGGTTGTTCATGGTTTCATCATTTTGCTCACTTTTGCATTTGAAACTTTATTCGAAAACTGTTGAAAGATGTTTTAAAAGATTTTAGTGGAACTGGTTTTAAACAAGCTGATTTGATTCAAAATATGGTTTTAAAAGCGTGCCGTATTTTACTGAGTTTCTACGATATGAATTTTACTTGCATTATTGCTCGTCACTACTTTTCAGTCTTTATTTACTATTGTTACTTACTGAGTTGGTGTACTCACGTTACTCCCTGCACCTTGTGTGCAGATCCAGGCATTTCTGGACACGGTAGCGGGTGTTGATTATTCAGTTGTAGATCCATCGGATTTAGCAAGGTAGTTGTCTGGCGATCGCAGCCCTGCTTTCCTCCCTCTTTATCAACCCTTAATTGTATTCAGTTATTTCTAGATTATGTTGGTCTTGATATTGTCAGACGGTTGTAGTAGATGCTCATGACTAGTGACACCCCGATGTCAGACTTTCTTCTGCACTTTATTTTGATTTGAACTCCTTTATGAAGGCTTTATATTAAATAGCTTTGGAACTATCTTTGAAGTGAATATATCGAATTGTATTGGTAATGTATCGGCTTGCCTAGTACCAGCCATCATGACAGGGTTAGTTTGTAGGTCGTGACACCAACTCATTTAGCCAGTTAACGACATCGCACAACTTTCACTTTATTATAATTGCACAAAACAGAAGACCACAACAATATATCTCGCCCAAAAACAAAATTTAGCGAGGTCAAAAATCAATGTACATAAACATTGTAAATCCCTAATCAAAAAGCATATATTAAAAGACCTTGTTCTATTGGGTTGTAATAGCTCTAAGTTAAAAATCAATAACTATGAAATAAAAGGTAGATAAATTCCACCAACCTATTGTACAGGTAACTCCAACATCTCTCAAGTATATACCCATTGAATCGTACTTTAGGACCAGATTAAGAAGTTCATTTTAAGTACTTATAATAAGCTAATGCGTGTCTTCCAAAATCACTGAAGAATTTGATTAATTTGACTCCTAACCTAAGAAATACATAATAATTTCAGAGGGTATAGTCAAAGCACATTGTACATATTATTCATTCAGATATTTATATAGTGTCCCACCTCCTTTTTCCCGCCTGAGGTGGGATATAAGGGAGTTTTTTCAATTAAAGTGACATTAATCGAAATGAGATTATTTATTAAATTTTGGAGTGACCACTTGAAATAGTTTAGGGTGTCCCAAGTCACCGGTTTATTTTAAATCCTGAATCAAGGAAATTTACGACTTTATTTAAAAGTGTACGAACCAGAAATTCTATGTAAGGAATTCTGTTAACCCGGGAGAAGGTGTTAGTCATTCCCGAATTCCGTAGTTCTAGCACGGTCGCTTAAACTATTAATAATTGGCCTATTATCTGATTGACTACATGTTTTAAACCTATTGTGCATTTTTTACTTTTATAACCGCTTTTATGAAATTATTCTGGAACAAGTTATGATTGTCGTACACTTGTTTGTTTGATACACATTGCGAATCATGTCATGGGAACCATCCCTCGATCTGTTACAATTTGAATTGGATTTCTTCATTGAAAGTGAAGAAAATGGATAGTAAACATCGGTTTTATCTTCAATTTGAACCAGATTACTCTAGAAAAATGAAAAATGGAAGATATTGGAAAAGGAAAAAAGAAAATTCATTTAACCGTTGGATAAGTTTTATTAAATTTGGACCCTTCAAATAAAGTATCAGATATACAGTTTTTTACTGTTCAGACATTTTATTTTGTTTGTAAAACACGCACTTGCCACGTAGACAAAGAGGTATGTCTTAGACACACCCTCTAAAGGTTGAGTGTGTAAGGTTATTATCATCCGCAAAAAGTGTGTAACAGGGATTTGGTCCATAGTTCAGGGGGTAACCTATGTATTTTGCCTTAAATTTATTAGAAGTTATGGCCGGATCACATTACCCTCGAATTTGGAAATTAGGTGTCATAACTACGTCACGGGAATCGTTCCCATAGTTATGACGATTTTATTATAAACGTGCCTAAAGCAAATTACGAATGTTTAAAAATATTTTCTATACTAAGTTATAATACTAATATGAGGGCCATAGATTTAAGTGATTTGATTGTGAATGGCACGCCTCGATTTATTTTAAAAGATTTGTACTTAACTAAATAAAGCTAACGGATGTCCCTATTGAAGATTAATTAAATAAGAAACGTTTAATTATAGACAAACTTAGGGTGAAGATCTTTTAAAACAATTTGGATAAGGGGTTTGGGCCAACAATAGCCCATTGCTCATTTAATTAAGGGTTGATCACCAATTTTAAAGCTGTATTGGGCTGGAGTTTGTTCCAGGATTGAAGAGATTCAATGACTCTTGCTGAGTCCGATTTTAACCAAAGGCTGGCCCGTGTTGGGCTTATATTAGGCGGGCCCAGTTATGGTTATTTACTGGCTGGGCCTATCTACCTCTATATTTTAAGCTACGACTTACATGATACATGCTTGTCAAAACCAAATCACTTTAAGTAGGAAATTTAAAATATGAAATAAAATAACCCAAGTTTGGAGATTAATTTGCACTATTACGATTTTGCAAAGAAACATAAGTCAAGCTATTTGAGTTTAATGCCCAGGCCCATTAGCCTGGGCCCAAACTTGTCAAGATTGGTTTTCGCAAGTCTGGCCCAAACTGTATTCAAACAGTTCTACAAATATGGGGGTTATGCTTATTACAAAGTAAAGCATCCTGTTATGAACTTAAACTAGTAGTCATACATAATCAAGCTCGAAAGTAAGACATTCTAAATGGTTTTGACAGTCCATCAACTACAATATACTTCTAAATACAACTATCTGTCTTAGAAAGAAAAGTTTAAGCTAAGAGTAATTTTCTTCTTAATTCTGAGCCTTCCAGCTATTACAAAATCTTTCGAACCAGCTTCAGCTTGCAAGAAGTTTAGCTATAGAGCTGCTTCCCACAAGTCAAGCCTTCAATTCCAACTCTGAAACTTCTTTGCCTTATTGCCACTCACATACAAGCATCAGAAATAAAGGGGAAATTTCAATAGTTATAAAGAATTCATTTAACAATATATTATCAACTAAAAGAAAGGTAGAGCAGGCAGAAAGAAAACAGCAAGAAAACAAGGTCAAATAGTCAAGGTTCAGATTCAGTTAAGTCAGAAATATACTCATAAGTATAAAGTAAACATTCTAGTTCAAACAGACACATAGTAGAGCCATAAACTTTTGCTCTTTTCATATCAACACATTAATTAATAGAAAAGAAACTTAGGGGTTTAAATGAAACAAAGTTTATTAATTAACATGCTAAATGTAAAGGAATCAATACGTGACAAAAGATAATCAAGACTTCATAGAACAGATGAGAGCTATCAGCTTATTCATGCCAAAATTGAGTCTTAGATTCAAGGCAAATACCTAATTACAACAAAATAGACCAAGCCAAGAAAATTAGGTCTCTTAAACAGTAAAAAACAAGTCACAATACAAGTGAAACGGCTGGTTGGAATCTAAAGATGAATCAGCCGGTAAACCCAAACAGCAGCAGTGTAAAACCAAATCCAGAAAAACAGAATCAACACTCGATGTTTCCAAAATCAGAGTATGAGAAACTTAGCCTAGAAGTTTAATCAGAAAAATTAAAGTTTTCAGGAAAAAGGTTTCAGGGAGTTTTTCTCTTTTGTTTTCAGAGCTTTTGGGTGCAGAAAAATGCTGATGAATGTATGTCATTTTTAGAATGATAGTATCTATATATAGACTGCCTAGGGTGGGTATTTTTTTAGGAATATTCTTTATCCTAATTCTAAAAATAGTATTGTTTTTCCTAACAGTTCTAGTACCGCTGTCCTCGTTATCCTATTTTTCAGCATATTTTTTATAACAGCTAGGACAACTGTACACTTTTCTAGAAACTTCTTCTATTTTTATACCCTTTTTACTTCTGAAATTTTACCGTTTACCCAGAAATTCTGACTTAATATCTTTTCTTATTTTATTTTGGTCCCTTATCTTAATTCTAGAAGTTTCCTAAGCAGTTATAGCTGATATTCTTCAGTTAGAATTCCTAAATTACCCTGAAATACCCCTGTAATTCCCCCTTTGTGATCCAGGGCCTGGGCTACATAATTGGCCAATTTTGGGCCTAACTAATTGGGCCTCATTTGCCAATAATCAACTGTTAATGAATTCCTGAAATCAGGCAACTCAAAACAGCTTATATTAAACACCTAAGAGATAACTAAGTTGACTAATTTGAACTAATTAATGTTATTTAATTAACATTAATGGCTGAACTAAACTTTGAATTGCTTCAAAAGTAGTAGTAGTAATCCTAAATGGGTATAGTTAACTAATCATTTAAGATTAACTAATAATCCACTAACTAACAAAATCAGAATTCAAGTAATTCAATTCTAAAATACATATGATTAGTAACAATTCAGGATAAATTATTTGGGTCAGGAATTAAACTCAAACAAACAGTTCCGATATCTAACATGCATGATTACTTATAATGAAAATCGACTAATTAATACATATTAGGAACTAACACCAGGAACAATAAGATAGCATGAAACCCTAGGTTAACAAATCAATGTCAATTAGCTAGAAATTAAACCTAACAACAAGAGAAACTAGCAAAAAGAAAAGATAAACATGCAAAACTTATCAATTCAGAATCAATCAACAACAGGCATTGAACAAATAGATCAAAGAAAATTATGAAAAACCTAATACTAAAAGTTCAAGATTAGATCGCAAAGACAAAACCTAACCTAGGTAGCTAATTTCAAAATAATAATTAAACAAAGAAAGAAAGTCAAAGGGGGTAACAGTTTGGTCGAAAAAAAGACTTGGCCGGATTTGGCCGGACTCTGGCGAGGTTGAAATGAGTCAAACCAACATGAATAAATTAATTTTGTCAAGTGTAACTGACTCACGTAGGTTTGAGCCATATGTTTGCTTGAATTCGTCCCGTGTGATTTTCTTTAGGGTTTTCAGATTTTTAGATCTGAAATTAGTCAAATTTGAGAGGTATTTTGGGGAAATTAGTGAGAGATTGGGGGTTGATGGGAAGAAGGATATAGTCTGGGGTGAGTTTGGTTCGATTTGAAAGTGCTCCGCCGCCGTGAGGCGATTACTGGCGGCGGAGCCAGTGGGGGAAATTTAGTGCGGCTAGGATTGAGGTTTGGGAGAGAGACAGGAGAGTGGGGGTGTTCTGAGGGTATGGGGTCTGTTAGGATAGTTATATAGCAAGGGATGCATGAGTTCTGAGCCGTTAGATCAAAATGATCCAACGACTAGGGTTAGAAAGGGCTAAACGGGGTTGTTTTGGGTAAATGGGGTTGGACTGGGTAGGCTAGGTTTTGGGCTTGGGTTTGGGGGTGGATTTGGGTATAAAAAAATCAGCCCAAGTTCAAATTACAACCTTAACATTTCCGTTTTTTATTTCCTTTTTCTTCGTTTTTCTTTAATTAAAAATCCTAAATTAAATTCTTAAATTAATCTAAATTGTAAAATTAAGATAATTATCCAATTATAAAATTTATAACAATTAGTTGATCCTAAATTGAAATAGAAAAAATTGATAATCAAAAATTAAAAGCTAAGAATGTAAAAATGAGCTAATTTTTGCGATTTTTATTTTATTAAAGTAATTAATTAACCAATTAATCCTAAAAATATGAAAACAAAATTTAAATGCAATGCATGATGCTTTTTTGTTTTTTGATGTTTTTCCAACAAAAATTTAACGTGCACAAAAATACAAACAATTAATAAAATCTTACAAAAAATCCTATAAAATGGCAAATAATTAGAAAAAATATATTTCTTTGATTTTTATAGGAGTATTTCATATAGGGCAAAAATCACACGCTCACAATTGCCCCTCTTTGCTCGGGAACACAAAGGATTTTCTGGCAATGATAAAATGAGCAATTACAAGCGATTTTTGCCCGTTTGAAACTCCACAGGAAGCATCTTTTGGAAAAAGTCTGACCAAACCTTGCTTCCGAGGTTGCCTACATATCCTTGGCTATAAAGGAATTAGGTCAGTGTAGTTCTGGAAGTTATGGTAGCTGGGACTACCGAGAAACTGTGATTTCACTGTTGTTGCTGTTATTTCTGCTTGCTGAGCTCCTTATTACACCAATCGCGCCCCCCTTTTTCCCTCCGTGGAGAGAGAAGTCTGGTTCGAACATTCGTGGGGGTAATAACTCATTTCCTTTTTTGGGAATTAGGTATTGAAGTGTCGCCACCTAACGGATTATGGTGCGTTAGGGCACCTAGAGCGATTAACTCTTAGACTAGTTTGCATTATTAGAGATTTAGGGTAAGGGATCGAAATAACCTTGAGGGGAAGGTGTTAGGCACCCCTCTTGGTCCACAACGGTGGGTCCCGACCAAACTTATACTATGTGAATTAGTCATTTTAGCAAATAAATAATTTTAACACTTTCTTGTAAGTAAAGGAATGTTTTGACATTCTAAGTACATGTATGGTTAAAGTAATGAAAACCAGGGAAAAGGTTTCAACATATGTAAAGAGAAGTAAATTCATTTAAAACATATAGGAGTTGGAAAAAGAGGGGCTCTAGGTTTATTAGCCTATAGGATCACCTACACAATGCCCGATAATCACTCCTCAATGAGGGGCTACACGTGACATTAGCGCGTAGTTATCATATCCTTACTACCCAATTCCCTCCCCCTTGTCATAGCCTAAAGCGTTCTAGTAACCTTGAAAATGTCCTATGCATGCACTACCTGTCCCTTCCTTGTGGCCCTGGAGGTATTTAGGACCTCTAATTTAGGTGGTTCTAGAACTTCCTAAGGTTTTAAAGGATAAAAGTGTAGGCGTCAATCAAAAACAATTAGGTCTGCATTTAAAGAGAACAAATTACAGGCTCACAGTGTGACGACCCGGCCAGTCGTCTCATGAGTTACCGCTTCGTTTTTCGCTATTTTAGCTTCTTTATGCTTCGTTATCCGTGTTTTATGTGATCAGGTTTATTAGTTCGTGTTCGGAGAGGATTTGGTAAGAAATGAGACACTTAGTCTCTTTTAAGAAAGCTTAAGTTCGAAAAGTCAACCGGATGTTGACTTATGTATTAGAAGGCTTGGAACTGAGTTCTGATGGTTTGGTTAGCTTCGGGAGGTGATTTGTGACATAGGAGCGCGATTAGAATGGGTTTTGGAGTTGTAGAGAAGATTTAGGCTTAAATTGGCGAAGTTGATACTTTGGCGGTTCCGGTTGATAGGCGAGATTTTGATATAGGGGTCGGAATGGAATTCTGAGAGTGACAGTAGCTTCGTTGTGTCATTTTGGGATGTGTGTGCAAAATTTTAGGTCATTCGGGCGGGATTTGATAGACTTTTTGATCGAAAGCATAATTTAAGAGTTCTTGGAGTTCTTAGGATTGAATCCCCAGTTAAAATGATGATTTGATGTTGTGTGAGTGTCTCAAGGTTTTGAACAAGTTTGAACGATGTCAGGGGATGTGTTGTTATAATTGGTTTGAAGTTCCGGGAGTTCCGGGTAGGTTCCAGATGTTTTAGGCCAAAATCATAGATGTAGCAGGTCCAGAAGGGTTGCAGGCCTCGGAACCCACCCGTGCAGACTGCACAAAAGGAATTGCGGCCACAGTATGTGCGATGCAAACCGCACAAAATGAAGTGCGACCACAGTGGTTTTGTGCACGCCGCGGTGGTTTTGTACGGACCACGGTTCTTTTGCGCAGACCGCGGTGGTTCTGTGCGGACCGCGGAGGTTGAGATCTGAGGGGTACTCTATAAATGCGATGTTTTGGGTTTTATTTAATATTTTGACATAGAGAGCTCGGATTTTGGTGATTTTTGGAAGGTTTTTCAAGAAATTCATCGGGGGTAAGTGATTCTAAATCAGATTTGGCTAGAGTACATGAATCTATCATTGAATTCATCATTTAATTCATGATTTGGGATGGAATTTGAAAAGAAAATTATGAAATCTTTCAAAAATATAAAATGATGACTTGAAGGACCAAATGGTATCGGAATTGGATAATTTTGGTATGGTTAGACTCGTGAGAGTATGAGGATTCTGAAAATGTAAATTTTACTCGATTCTGAGACGTGGGCCCGAGGCTTGGATTTTGCTAATTTAGGGATTTTTGATATTTTTTGAATGTTTTCACTTGGGCTTTGTTCCCTTAGAATATTGTGGCGCATTCGTTCTGATTTTGGATATATTCGACGCGCTTGGAGGCCAATTCGAGGGGCAAAGGTGTCACAAGCTTGAGAATTAGTCGGTTCTAGGTAAGTAATGGTTGTAAATGATGTCCTAAGGGTTTGAAACCCCGGATTACACATCGTAGTGTTATATTGAGGTGAGACACACGTTGGATGTTGAGCGTGGGGTTTTTTACTACTGAGGATTGTGACTTGGTCTGTCCCGATTGATGATCTTACTACGTATTTGACTGAAATTTATTGGTTATCATCACGATTTGGGTTGATTGCTACATTTGGGCTTCGTGCCAACTATATGGATCCTTCGGCGATTTTTATCAATGTTTCCTCACTGCTTAACTTATTATTTGAACTCAGTCCTGTTGATATCTACGGTTTTACAAACTCAGCCACTTTTACTCAGATTTGAAACTTAAATGATATTTCTACATCATGTTTTGGGCTGAGAACTACTGTTTTACTAATGCCCAAGGGGCTTGTGATGATTTTCGGACTCAGTGAGGCCGAGGGCCATATGTGAGGATATGCTGAGTGATATGAGGCCGAGGGCCTAAGATACTTTATGTGCCAAGAGGTGGCTTGAGTGATGTGAGGCCGAGTGCCGAGTGATGCGAGGTCGAGTGCTGAGTGATGATGCCACGAGGTGGCTTGATATAGCGCTTGGGCCGTAAGGGGCCCCTCCGGAGTCTGCACACCCAGAGTGAGCGCGGGTACCCATTATGATCTGAGAATGAGCCCGAGGGGCTGATACTATTCTGAGTGATTGATACTGAGCCTGAGGAGTGGATTTCTACTTATTATTTACCGATTAAATTACCTGTGTTACTTGTTTTGAAAAGGGATATCATTTGATTTCTTCACTGATTTACTACTTTAAGTGATTTTACTGCTTGATATGGAATTGTTTTGTGCCTTTACATGTTTTCATACTTACATCCATTAATTATAATTTTTACTCACTGAATCGGAGTACTCACATTACTCCCTGCACTATGTGTGTAGATTCAGGCATCGCAGAGTCTACTCCTGAGTGCTGATTCTCCCAGTCCAGGCGGTGATTCGGAGACTACAAGGTAGTTGTTGGCGTTCGCAGCCCTGTGCCTCCCATATCTTATCATTTTCATGTTTTTAGAACTATTGTATCAGATTTAGCGTTCATTAGACTTGTATCCGAATTTCCTAGTTGCTCATGACTAGTGACACCCCGGTTTGGGCTGTGTCGGGATGGTTTTTACTGTTGTTATCGTTAATCCCGTAAATTACGGTTATTATATCATGTTTTAGGACTACATATGGTATTTAACTATTTAAAAGAAGTGGTGTGTTTTTGTCTGGTCGGCCTTGTCTTCACGAGAGGCGCCATCACGATCGGGTTCGAGGAATTGGGTCGTGACAAGTTGGTATCAGAGCCTAGGTTACATAGGTCTCACGAGTTGTGAGAAGGTTTAGTAGAGTCTCGCAGATCGATACAGAGACGTCTGTATTTATCCTCGAGAGGCTGCAGAACCTTTTTAGGAAAAAACTTCATATTCTTGAAATTCTTATCGTGCGAACTTGTTGGTCCGAATACTAAACTTATGTTATTCCATTCTCTCACAGATGGTGAGGAGGCGAGCTACCGGACGAGGTGGACGACCACCAGTGCCACCCAGTGAGGCCACCACTGGTCGTAGACACGGTCGTGGTTGTGGCAGAGGTAGAGCAGAGAGGGCAACACCTATAGATCCACCAACTACCCTAGCTCCGGATCAGGCTCCAGCTATAGATGCTCCAGCAGCACCAGTTCAGGCACCAGCTGTTCCCATCGTGATTCTGGGTCTTTAGGAGGCCTTGGCACAGATCTTATCAGTTTGCACTAGCCTAGCTCAGGCAGTTTCAGCCACTACAGCAGCAGCTACTTCACAGGACGGGGGAGGAAATCAGACCTCCTGCTACTCGCACACCTGAGAAGGTAGTGCAGGGACCACCTCACAACGGGGGCACC